AAAAATTAATTATTTTTATAAATCTAAAATTTGAATCTAAGATTTTAAAGTTTAAAAATTAAATGCAATACCAATTAATTTAATAAATATTAATAATCTAAAATATTTTTAAATAAATATAAAGATATGAAAAACTTCGATTTCACTGTTGAATGTAATGCGAGAGAAGTGAATGTACAGTAATGTGAATATTCTCATTCAATACTGATGGCAAGAGAGCATATATTCTTGTCGTGCGTGCAATTTCTGTATTTTATATTGCAATATTGGTACCGATGCTTATTATGCACACATGCTAAACATGAATATTCATCTCTCAATATAATTTTATTTCATATTTAATATTATAATTTAAATACTAAATAATTTAATTAAGAAACATAAATTACTTCTATTTATATCTCCCAATAATGGTGGTGCAACTTCTGTATAATGTAAAAATTTTACTAGAAAGAAACAAATATAATGTATGCTAGTAAGAAAAAAGGGTATCTGTGTCTTTATTTTAACTATTTACGTCAGTATGATAGTGTATAATTATTATATATTAAAAATCTTTTTGTAATATTTTATAATTTTTATTTAATAGTTTCTTATTTTTATTTAAAATGTTAAGATTTTGTTTCAAATAAAATGCACATAAAAACAGAAAATTCCTTTTATAAATACACACACGTACATATGACAAAATTTATTATAATTTTTCATAAAATAAAAGTAATTTTACTTTTTAAAATTTAAATTATATATCAAACTTCTTTACATCATACATGTACATGGTATGTCTAAAACTTTTTAGATGTTAAAGCAAAATTTATATTCAAGTCTTATTCTAATATAATTCATCGATCTTCATTTTATTTTTCCAACTTTTTGAACTAAAAATTTGTTAAGTAAAGTTTAATAATTAAAAATTTTCAACATCTTAATAGTAATTCAATCAATAGCTATGAACTCCATTATTGTTTTTCATCCTTTGTTGTTGATTGTAATGGGAGAAGTGGAGGTTTAACTCTTCTTTGGAAACAACCTTTCTAGTGTCACCTCATTAACTTTTCTATGAACTCCATAAATGTTGAAGTTTCTGGTTAGTGTTACTATTTGGGAACTAATTGAACTTGAAAAAAAAAAGTTATACTTACAAAATTTTGTTTTTTTGGCGTTAGAATATTGTTGAATATAATTTTAAACTGGTATCTTAATATATACTATATGGTTTTCATGACAGAAAAGGCTCATGGAACCTTCTTAGAACTCTTGCCGAAGATGAAAACTTATCTTGGTGTATTATTATGAGAGATTTCAATGATCTTCTCTCTCATGAAGAAAAGAAGGGTCATGTTGATCATCCATCCTGGCTCATTCAAGGATTCAGAGAATCTTTCACCTATGCAAATCTTATTGATATTCTCCTGAGTTATCATCAATTCACTTGAAGAAAAATTAGATAGGGCAATGGCTTTGCAACAATGGATTGATCTTTTTCCTAGCTGCAATGGATTATTAAATGTTATTTCTAACACATTCAAAGGAAAGAAATCACCTTAGATATGTGGACTTTCTACAATTAAGCTTTTCTACCTTATACTTTTTAACAATTGAGTTGACAGAAGTTAGATGATCATCATTCTAAAAATCACGAAAATGCTCTCTTTGATCACAAAAGCTACTTTGTAAAAATCTTTATAAAGTCCACATATTTTGTTTCTAATGTACGAAATTTCACGTATGCTATGAATAGACGTAACGATAAATTTTGCAATGTGTTAACTGTAAAACAATTGAATTTCTGATTTTGGCTATTTAAATTGAACATTGCAAGGATTATTTCTGGGAGGGACATGAACGCTTTAGAAAAAATTAAATTAAGGAAACACAATTCTGATTAAACAAACAGATAAAGGCTGAAAATAAATATAATGTTCAATACTACCATACAAAATTAATTCAAACCTTAATGACCATAATTATGTAAAAAACCACATGTACAATAACACATTCCATTCCTAAATCCTAATACACTTGCTGAATATTCCTAGGTACTCAAATCACATAAGAAGCAACACTTGCGAAAACAAACTGAAAGAAAAGCATTTGAGAGACCCCAATTGGAACATGGTAGCCAGAAGACTTGGCATGCTGAGGAAGAGAATCATCAGCCATGACCCTAACAATCATCTTCTGTCCCTTCTCACAGTGCCCTGATGCACCACTGATGAAGTAGAAGGTTCCTGAATGGTCAAGTTTGACTACAGAGTTGCCACTGTTGGAGAACAGTGTGGGGTGTGTGGCATTGCAGTTTGTGTAATCTACCCCTCTCACTTCCATCACAGAATCCTTCTTGTACTTAAACCCTACACACACATACACAAAAGCCAAATACTTATTAACACATGCACCAATTTTCAACATAAACTTGTTTCACAAAAAATGGTCCCCACTTTTTATAGTTTCTACTACCATGGTTTCAAATTGTAATTAGTGGAAAATTGCAGATAAATGTGATCATTGTGACCACAATTGTAGTTGCTAAGACTTTCAATTACAGTTTTGTCACAGTACTTGATATTATGAAAAATTGCAAACAAATATAATAATGTGACTACAATTACTTGTAATTACAGTTTTGTCGCGACCCTTGATATTATGAAAAATTGCAGACTTATGTGATCAATGTGGTCAAAATTGGTCGTAGAGAGACTCTAAAAACTTTGGTGTTGTGACTAAAATTGAAGCCTTGTTTGCAATTACATTGTGAACACAATTTTGGTCTCATCAGTCACATGTCTGCAATTTCCCTTGATAGCAAGAATTACGAGGAAAATACAACTACAATTAATTTAAAATCTTTGTATTAACTATGCATGGGAAAGAGAGTAACGTAGTGCATACAGATGGTGTCACCAACGTGGAACCTGTTGTTGGAAGCCCAATCATTGTAGTGGTTGGTGTCATTGGCAGGTGGGACAACCCACCCTTTTGAGCCACCAACTTGGAACTCAATGGAAGCCACAGAGAAACGTGGGAGAGTGGTGAAGATGGCAAAGAGAAGCACTAGTAGGGAAGAGGAACAAGGAGAAGCCATTGGAAGTATGTGACAGGCAAAAGCAATGAGAAAGGGGTTTGTGATAATAATGGCACACTTTGTTGTAGTAGGAACTGTGGAGAAACTAATGGGGGTTAGTTCTTATATATAGATGTTGATAGAGAGAGTGGCGAAGTTGGGAATGGAAGTAGTGGGTGATTACAGTTATTAATTACAAGTCATGCCTTGGAAGTTGGAACCTTTGATTTTTGCTATAATCAGTTATTTACACGCTTCATGGTAATTTTGTTGTATTTCAAACTATATAATATAAATCACGTATTGGTCTAAGGAGACAGTTTATTCTAGGCAGCTTTCTCAATAGACTAATTGATCTCATGATGAGTGTAAAGGAAATTACATTTTGCTGACATAACGGCATACAAGTAGAAAAAAGGAACTTTGTGTATGCATTAAAAGAAGAGAAAATTTTTTCTTTCCTAGTAGTAGTTTATATTAATGGGTAGTTTTTTTTTAAATTTTATTTTTATAGTCATGCGCGATTATTTGACTGTTTATGCAATTATTAAGAGTAAAATAAGTAAGAAAAATGTGGACACAATTATTTGATCATACATATGTTGCTCATTTTTCTCTGTCATTTCCTTGAATAAGTAGATGTAGGTGTAGAACAAACAGTATCAGCAGTTATCAATACTAGCAGAAAAATAGGGTCGTGCATGTCTACTCACAATTCCACATCAGTGACAATTAAAAGGTAAAATAAAAAATGGTCCAAAAATGTATACATTAAAAATTAGTATGAGTTCGTATATAGTTATAGGTAGGTGAAATCAGACAATGTAATCATTTACATTTTCTTTTTCAAGATAAAATAATGTAACAATATACAACATGATGTTCCTATGATGAAGTTTCCAAATCTATTGTATGTTCAGACTCTTGACCAGAATTGTTAGATGTTTTGCCTTTAAAGGACTTCAAACTTAAAATCCGAGGAAAAGCACTCTTTGATCTGATTATTTTGGATGCTCCATGCTTCTCAGCAAGGTCATCAGATAACGTGTTTAAAATAAGATCAAATTGCCGCTTGTAGGTAGGGAACCTTGTGATGAATTTGGTGATCCCTTGGAGTCTTTGCAATAGATATGAAGATAAAATGAGAGAATAAGGTCTTATTGAAAATTCAGTACAAAAGTTATTAAAAACAATTAAAAGTTGGATACAAATTTAAAATCACTTTTGCAAGTTAATCTACTAGAAAAAGCTATTTATTTCCGGTAGAAAAACCCTCAAAAGTGTTTGTAACTTGTATTTCAACGAAATTTTAGAGTATGTTTGGATACAAATTTATAAGTATCTTTTAGAACTATTTTACTGGGAATAACTCTTTATTTTCAGTAGAGAAGTTCTCAAGCGTATTTTTAACTTGTATCCAAACAAGACGCTAAGTTAATGTAGTTTAATATGTACCTTCTTGCCAATGCATCAAGTTCAGCACGTTTGCGGTCAGATTCTGGACCTGGGACAATAAGTGAATTTTTTACCCTGTTGGAATCACCATTGAAGAGGACTAATTTGCCAAGGTAGTCTTCTTCTGACACACTAAGATTTTCAGCTTTTATTTGTTCTTTGATGATCAAAAGGGGATTAAGGAACCATTCAAAAAACTGTTCCTGCGGTCTGTTTGTGGTAGTTAGTTCAGTGTCATCACCTACATGGAGAAAATGTAAGCCTAGTTAATAATTTATTCGAGATGCTTGAAAGCAATTGATCATGAAAATCAGAAGCAAAAGGGGGCAGAGTAGACAGAAGGAAAATTCTGAATGCTAACACTTCACAACAAATCACTTACACAAAATAGCATTGCTGACTTTTGTAAGAATGTCATGATATGAGATTCCTGACTTTTGTAACAAATTACTCCCTCCATCTCACAATGGTTGTAGTTTTGGCATTTAAAAATTATCTTAAAATGAATTATATATTTTTTTTTAATATAATATTAATTATTATTTTCTTAATTCTTTTCATAAATTATTTAACTATTACAATCAAAAGTAATGTATTTAGTGAGAGAATAAACTATTTTAATAAAATTATACTGCCTTCGAACAAGCCATTCAAGAAGACCCAAATATGTCTTAAATTTTTACTTTTTTCCAAAACCAATAAGTTAGTTAGTTAGAATCAATAAAATATGTCTTAAATTTTTACTTTTTTTCCAAGACTACCCCTAAATTAAAGAGACACTTAATATAAGTTTTCAAAGTTTTTACTTACTTAGAACAAAATTAGGAAACTATTTATATTTTAAAAGACGTATATATTAAAAAATTTTCACTCATTTGTTGAACTCATAAATACATACAATTTGAAATTAATGCTAAAAACATAATAAATTGAGTCTTATTATAATCAAGATCAAACTAATTTGAAAACTTGGATTCTATAATTAAGACTAGATCCTATAATTAAAACCGAATGGAGTATAAAAAATGATATATTTATGTGTAAAAAATTTTAATCGGATAAAGAAAGTAAATAAATAGTATATGATCATGAATTATCTATTTCCTAATTGCAAATTGCAATTTGTCATGTAAAATAACTTTTATAATAATTATCTTTTAAGTTAGATCATAATGGTTATAGAATAAAGTTTTATTGTCCATTCAAGAAAATTAAACTACAAATAGGAAGAGGAAAGGAGGAAAAGACAACTAGAACTTCAGCAAGTGATCACTTACTTATCAATATACCGGTGGAGTCAGCTTTTACAGAACGTAAGAGTGCTTTGAGAAGGCAATATGCTGGCAAACCAATTCTAATGACTCTGCCCCCTTTATTAGACTTGGCTTCTTGTATATCTTCATATTTTATTAGCCCTTCAGTAATCAGTGATTCTCCAAGTTGATGACATTCCTTGAACAAGCCATTCAACAGCTACACAAGTCATAAAATACATATTTATTTAGTCCTAAAGCCTGATGCAAAACATGAACACAAAAAAAGTGATATTTGAGTCCATGACATGCCTCGGTGATCATAAAATATTGAAGAGAATACCTCAACTGCTTTGAACTCGGCCATATTATTTTTCAGTGATATTGCACCAGAAAGTGTCTTCGTTAAGGACTTTGTTTTTGAAAGGGAATTTGTACGGGAAGGTGTCTTTGACAATGATTTCAATTCTGATTCAGCATTTTTTCGATATCGTGGCCTATCAAACACAAGTAAAGAGCATTAACTGGAAGTCACAGCAACACCAACATGCATTAGAAAATAGAAAGCATTGCAGAATGAAACCTTGGGAAGCAGGATCCTTCTTTCAAGTCAAGAATATCATTGCTGTATTCATCATAAAGAGACACAGCTGCAACAATGTACCCAAGGCCAAACAAGAAAGAAGACTCCTGCATTTCAATGAACAAAATAAACAAATAATGCCCAAGAGAAAACCATGCAGCATCAATAGTTTCGAAAAGCTTGGTTCTACTGTTGTATATTCTTTCAACAAGCTATAATTTAAAAGGCCCTCTTGAAATTGAATGAAGTATGCTTGTAGCCAGGGTTTAGATGAACTCTATTGTGCAGTTTTCGGGCATGACTCATATAAGTTTCATAACAATGATACCATGAATGAGGTATTCATCAGAGTCAGATACCATAAGCATAGCTAACATTACAAGGTAGGCCATTTAAAAGCCAGATTCAAGTTGAGGATCTAACTAATGTTGGCTGAGGATATGGCCATGTGAATACAAGCTCTGATAGTATCTTAAAATATGAATTTAGAGTCTAACTTCCACAAAACTAATTTATAAGGTGAGTACTGTTCAACTCATATAAGAATTATATTTTTTTAATCTCTAGTCGATGTATATCATACTATTATCACTAGTCTGTTTCTGTTTAAATATAAAAGCAATGTTATACAAGAAAAGAAACTAACCCTACTAGCAAATGCTGCATATTTCAGTCCTAACTTAAGCATAACTTAACAAGATACGAGTCTGTTTAGATATAAACCTAAAAGAACTTTTGAGAGATTTTCACAGAAAAAAAAAATTCTTTATTTTCAATAGAAAACCTTTCAAAAAAATCTTCTAAATCTGTATTCAAACAGCCTCAACAGTAAACTTGTAACAAGAGTATCAATAGGTACTGAAAACTTGTATGAGGAATGACCTGATAAGCAACAAGACCTGCATAGGCACCAAGAAAGAAACTAGCTAGCACAGATGCCAGAATTGCCCCAACAACAGCGAGTGGCCACAGAATGATGGCAAGGCCAGCAAAAGGCACACATATTGTCTCCAAGAAAGGGCCTTCACGACCTATGAGGTCATGAAACAAACGGTTCCACCCTTTAAAAAGCATGTAAGGGCCTTTGCATATGGCAACAGCTGATATAGCTGGCATATCAACTATGATCCCAAGAACAGCAGCCACAATAGCAGCAGGAAAATATCGCAGCCTGCATCAAGACAGATAAATGAAACATCATTGAAATTTCATAACAGATGGTGCAATGTCATGAGTCATGTGTTTATTATCTATTTAGAAGACTTTTTTATAGCCACAATTTTTTTTTGAAGTTCCCAAAATCTACCAATGCAGCTCACTCATTAGACTTTCCAAGAGGGTGTTGGATGATACTCTGGTTAAATCTAGCATAGACCACAACATACAACTAAAAACATAAAAAACGGATAAGTAAAAATGAAGGAGGAAAAAAAAAAGAATTGGTTTCACCCTCTTAGCCAAATTGGTAAGAAAGCTAATTTAGGCAGTAACTAACTAACTGTTAACACAGAAATCATGCGGTTACTAAAGTTTCCATAATCAGATTGTACTTGTTAATAGGCACTGTCTAAAAGGATTTGTCATTCTGAAAGATGCTACCTGGTAATAATGCCTTCTGTCAAAAAAATTTATGGCAAACTACCTTAACTTTGTTATAATAATGTTTATGCAAGTGATACATGGTTAAAATCACCATGTACAACATCATATATATTGGCCACAGCAAGTGCATAATACCATTTACATTTGGTTACCTTAAACAAAAATTTAGATGTATGAAGTAATGTAACAAAAATCAAACTGAGTCAGAAATATAATGACATAAAACCTGATCTCATAATATTTGTCATCTGGAAGCTTCGGTTGTAGCAGGTCATCCATAACCGAGAAATAAGTATCATAGCATTCATTTTTCACATCCTTGACAATATCAAAGGTCTTTAAGATAGTGGTCCATGTTCCATCCTGAGATGCAATATGAAATTCTGTATTGAGGATGAACACAAGAACAGAAAAATAACAAGGATTTTAATAACCTAAAAATGAAACATACAATAAAACAGTGGAGAAGTTTGTTCTCTTTTCCTCCTTCTACAGCTTCAAAAGTAGCAAATATTGGTGCAAAAAATCCATAGGCTGCTCCACCTATAACACTCCCAACAATGCCAACCACTGGCCATGAAATCAACACCAAGGGTAGTAGAAATGTGCATGTAACAAACTTCAGTGAAGGTCCTAATTTTTCAGATCTGTAACTTAAGGAAATCAACACAAGGAAACAATAAAAAAATCCAAAACAATGAGAAAATCAAATTTGAGAGACTGGAAGCCATGGAAAGCACCTCACTACACAGTAATATGTCCAAATACAATGTATTGGCCAAAGACTATATATGATAGCTGAGTTACCAATTGTCATTATTAAGCATACCAATGGGCAGAAAATGGCACCTGAAATCACAGTTTGAGAGAGAGTAAGTTTAACAATCATAATCCTTAAGCAGAAACTTCACTTAGGCCTTTTCTACTATGGTAAGAACAACATATAGGCAATGATCAAAGAAATAAAGCAGCTATTACATATTCTATTAAAGGAAAAGTAAACTATTTAATTCCTTGTTTGCCTTGAATGTGTTAAAGTTAGAATTTTATAATATTTATCATGTCGTTTAAATAGTTTTTCTTTTTTTAATTTTCAATAACATAAAATTTTATTGTGCTTAATGAACAAACTACAAGATTGATCATCAGCAAAACAAGTAAACTTTAATTGTTTACCCTTATTAATAATATCCGATTATGAAAACATCATTCAACACCAGCTAATTAAAATGAGGAAATCTCCTACAATCATGTTTCAAAATGGAACACATGCTAGATTACATACCAATGTTCACTCCAACATTGTCAAAGGAAAAGAGGGCGTAATAAATTTCACAATAAAATGAATAATTATTTAAAATAACATGTAATTTTTAAATAGTATGATTATATATATATATATACCATTACAGTATGACAGTTTGTAATCACCAAGAAATTCCATCTCCTAAGTTCAACTTCTATTTCCCAATCATAGCATACCAAAAAGCAACCAAAATAACAAAGAAAAATAGAACCGTAGTCATTGACATTCACCTTTTAAGTGGCCTAGAAGCCAAAGACCGATGAAAAAAGGAAGAAACAAAACAAAGCTCCATATAGCATAAAATCCAGTTGGAGGTTCCATTGCTCTTCTACCCAGATCTTTGAATTCCACCACTAAAAACTCATCTTGCTTTCAGACCCTCAAGTAGTACAAAAGATTCAAACTTAGGCCACTTAAGATATGATAAAGATTGAAAACTATACACCCTGATGCTAAAACCCACTTTTCTGCAAGCACAACTTGTTAAGTCAACACAAAATCTCAAATTGCTCTTCATTCTGTGCCTAATGACCATAGATGCAGAAAAACAGCAGATGGGCCAATCTTAAGCCCCATTTTGTTCCCTTTTATAGAACTTTGGGTTGTAGCCTTAAAATATTTGAAAAGGGTGTATTGGAATTGTGTTCAGCTTCTCTGTTCTTTTATGAAAATCATGACACAGTAAAGCCTGAAATGAGAGGAATCGTTGTGAATAGAGTTAGTTATGCTATGAGAGCAAAGAATGAATGAACATCACATGATGCTTTGCCAAATTCTCATATCATATATACCTTCTTTCTATTTTCTAATCACAACTTTATTTTAAGCATCTTAATTATATTCCTTTGTGCTCAACTTTGGCTTAAAGCAAAGCAACAAGTGTGCGTTCTGGTGACTTGTGGGGTGCGATTTGTTTTGATTTCAGAAAGGAAAAGTAAGAGACCACTTTGAATATGAGCCAACAAACATAGTTACCAGGGACCTGATGCTGATATGAACATGCAATTCGTGTAGGTACACGGTTTTTGCTTTTTAGATTTTACATTAGTATTACAAGACTTTTTTTTGAAAAGAATCTAACCTGATACGATGAATTCGCCTATGGCAAGAAGATTATTTCCAGAATTATGTAAATGTGCAACACACAAAATATACTTGTATGTTGTTGGGGGGAAACTACTGATATATGTGAACTCTGAGATATTCTAAAATACGAATGAAAATATGTATCTATGAAAAGTTGTATTCCTTTACGAAAATATAAGTTCTTTTATAAAAACAAATAATATATATATAGAGAGAGAAGGGATCAAATGACTCTAAAAGTGACTTTAAGTGAAATTTACACTACTCAATAATTCATGGTGTATGTTAAATTTTAATGATTTAACTATTAAATTAAAAAAATTTAATGTATAGGTTAAGTTCACAAATCTTTTAAAATTTTAAAAATTATTTGATACTTCGTTTCATTAATTCAAATTAACATATTAGAGTTATTTGATCCCTTCTTATATATACGACGAGAGATTTATTTACTCCAAGAATAAGTTTATCTAAGCTTACTCCACTCAATAATTCGTATTCTACGTCAAATTTCAATAATTCAATCATTGAAATAAAAATTATTAATACATAGATCAATTGTGCAACTTTTTAAAAAAATTGTAAACTTTTTGATATTCTAATTCATTAATTCAAATTTACAAATAATCATAAAAGTATATTATACATTGATTGGAATTTATATAACAGTCCCAAATGGTTTTGAAATTTTTTAAAAAATTTACAAATTTTATTTATGCATTAAGTATTTGAATTTAACGATTGAATAATTAAAATTTAATATTAAACATAAGTTATTGAGTGAAGTAAGTCTAACAAATCTTACTCTTTCATATAT